TTGGGATTACCTTACAGAAAGCCAAGCCCTTGCGTGCAATTCCCATGCCTGTGTCCTAATATTATTTCTTAAAAGAGAAAGCTATTTAGAGCTTGGTTGTGTGCTGTACTTCTGTTCTTCGTATGTCTGTTCTGTATAAATAAAAGATCGAAACTTTGTTGCCCAGCATTGAACGATCTTCATCTCTTTTCCTGTAATTTTGATGTTATTAAGAATCTAATTTTTATTTTTAAATTTCTTCCCAATGGAATTTCGTATCTGTTTAGATTCGATAAATCTTTGACATTGTAATTTTGATAGTTGGTTATTTTATAACAAGATTGGTGGTATCAGTTTATATAGTGAAAAATTAGTGAAAAAAATATTTTATAATTAAGTGTTTTAATAAAGTATTATAAAAAAATATTTAAATAATTTTATTTATATTTTAGTCGTTAAGTCAATGATATTTTATTAAAATTATATAATTTTAGAGTTTTTTTATGTATTTTCTTACGATTTATTTACTTTGAGTATTTTATTATGGATTTATCTAATTTGTATTTTTAAAATATAATAAATATGTTTTTTTAATTAATTTACATTAAAAATGACAAAAGTTGACTTTCATTTTAGTGTTATTATCATGTTAATAATTTTAATTAATTAATTGATTAATTAAATTCAAGTCAATTTTTATTATTTTTTATGTAGATTAATTATAAAATAATAAGTTTATTACATCCTTAATTTGTACCTTAAAAGTACAAAATAAAAAACTCTTTTATTATTTTATTACTTTATTATTTTCTTGAGAAATTTAAATATAAAAATTTTGAGTCATCTCTTCTTCTATCTCTTTCATCACCCAATTTTATTCCTTTCTCTCACTTTATTCTTCACATTGGTTATCATTTTAACCCCCTGGAAGACCTCTAATAGTATGTTAGCCATTTTAGGGGCATTGTGGCTTTCATACTTCACATTGTATTTATTATTTTGACCTCATGGAAGAGCTCTAACAGAGTGTTAGCTATTTTAGGAGAATTGTAGTCTTCTATCTTAAACTCAAGTTCCAAAATCCTAACATTCCTCTTTCCATCTAAAATTTTCATTTTATCCTTTAACTTCTCTTCCGCATTTTGAACTAGTGAGGTGCAAAATTATTCACTTATTAAACCGTTCTTCACAAGAAATAGAATTAGTAATTTGACTTTTTACTTTTTTATTCTTTTTGTGGTTCAACTTTCCTCTCAATTGTATTTTAGGTAATATGATTTTATGACATGGGATAGTTGATAAGATTAAACTGTAACTTATATTCAAAAGGAAATTTTGGGATGTGATTCAAAAGTATAGTTTTGAAATAACAACTTAATTTTAATGTTCTCAACTTCCCATATCTCCCTACATTTCCTTTAGATCTCGAGCCATTTTTATTTTTATTTTTATTTGATAGCATGGGTTAATAGAAGCTATTGCTTTGAATAATTTAGTTTTGATGATTTTAAAGTATTACTATTACATTACATGATATGATGAATAAAGTTTATATAAGATGAGAGATTTAATTTATTCTTAATATGAACTATGGAAATATAGAATCTAATATGTTTCTTACAAAATACTACATAACTTGTGATATGTAAATTGTAAGTAGAAAGTAAAGATTTCAACCCCATTAACTTATCTCAGTACATCCCTACCTCCATATATCCCTAACAACACCAACAACTTAAAACAGCAATAAATGAAAAAGAAATTAAAAAGTAAAATTTATTTATTTTTAATTAAATTATTATTTTTTGGACATTTTGAATTGAGTTAAATAAAATAACTTAACCCATAAATTTAAAAGTTTAAACCAAACTTATTAACAACCTAAATAATTCAACGGTTATCTCTTTCCGTTTGAAATAAGAGATTTTAAGTTTAAATCACATAGCATGCGGGTGGGATGGAATAAGAAATGAAAAATAATTACCTCTTATTACGTAACCAAATTTTTTTTAAAAAAAAAAGTTTAAACCAAACTTGGATTAAGAGACTCAGTTCCAAATAAAAAGAGATTTTCTTAATTTCGGGATAATTATAAAGATTTTACACATACATTATTTTTTTAATAAAAATACTTTTTTTTCAACTAATTAAAATTATTACATTTTAAAAATTTATAATAAAAAATACTATAATTTCAATTCTATTATTTAAAATTAATTAAATATCAATTCTTAATTAATAAACAAATTCCATTTGTGAGACCCAATTAAATCACTAACGGCAAAAATATGATATAAGGATCCGAACTTACACCAAATTCACAATTTCGGACCCAAACTTCGATTGCGGCTCAATGAAGGTCCCGAACTCCACGAAATTCTCAAATAAGGACCCAATTGGACGGAAAACTAACTTCCGTTAAATCTCCTATTGTTCCGTTAATGTTTCCGTCACATTTCACACCAGCCACTTGAATGCTAATTTTGGTCCCTCAACTTCATTGAGTTTCACTTTTTTGTCCCTCAACTTCATTAACTTTCACTTTTTTATCTCTCAACTTTATTGAATTGTACTTTTTTGGTTCATAAATTATTTTTTGTACTTTTTTGGTTCTTAAATTATTTTTTACACTTTTTTAATCCATTAACTTTAATAACTGCACAATTTTGATACTTTTATCAGTTTAAACCATTAACTCCGTCCACTTCGTATTTTTTATATTTTTTTGATGACATATATAATCTAACTAGAAAAAAATGATAACATGAAAAAATAAAATAACATGTAAATAAATTTTTATATTTTTTATAAAAAAAATATAAAAACCTCTCTGCCTATTTTCTTCCCCCTCTTTCTTCCCCCTCTTTCTTCCTCTTTCTTCTAGGGGAGAAGAAAATAGGTGGAGAGGTTTTTTTATTTTTATTAAAAATATAAAAATTTATCTACATATTATTTTATTATCCATGTCATCATTATTTCTAATTAGATGATCTATGTTATTATTTTTTTCCAGTTAGATTATACATGTCATCAAAAAAATATTAAAAATGTCACATGAATGAAATTAACGGTTTAAACTGACGAAAGTATTAAAATTGTGCAGTTGTTAAAGTTAAAGGATAAAAAAAGTGCAAAAAAATAGTTTAAGGATCAAAAAAGTGCAAAAAATAATTTAAAGACTAAAAAAGTATAACTTAATAAAGTTGAAGGATAAGAAAGTGCAATTTAATGAAATTAAGGGACAAAAAGTGAAATTTAATGAAGTTGAGGGACAAAAAAGTACAACTCAATGAAGTTGAGGGACCAAACTTAGAATTTAATCAATTTTTTTCAAGTGGCGGGTGTGAAGTGTGATCGGAACATTAACGGAATAATAGGGCGGAAGTTAGTTTTCCGTGGGAACTTATTTGAGAATTTCGTGGAATTTGGGACCTTCATTGAACGCAATCCCAATTTGGGTCCGAAATTGCAAATTTGGTGTAAGTTTGAGTCTTTATGTCATATTTTTGCCATCACTAACTTATCAAAAAATAAAAATAAAAATGATTAATGACTTACAACTAATTTGAGCAATGTTGCATAAGCATGGAGACCACAATATAGGTGTTCGATATCGATACTTATATATCAAAATGGAGTATTAAAATTCTTAACACATGGTGTCCACACCAACAAAGGTGATATCAGGATTGAATCGATCTGTGTAGGGGTTTGGGATCTCGTACAATTTTTTTAATGATAAAATAGCACATTGTGTTCTTCGTTTTCTATTTTACCAACACTTTAGTATTTGAAATTCAAATTCATTTATTAGGTTCATGATTGGATTGTAACCTTTTTTTATTGTAATTTAGTCCCTCAAATTTTTAAAAATTTTCACTTAAGTTCCAAAACTTTTTTCCATTTAAATTCCTTTTAATAAATAATAAAATTTATTTAAAAAATTTATATATAAAAAAAAAAAACCATAAACAAAGCAAAGAACTTATAGATCAACTTAACAAAATATATCCTATAGAGTTACTACCATTAATTTATTATTTAAAGATACTATATAAATTATTTTAAACAAAAATATATTATCTAAAAATAAAAATTTTCAAGTTTAAAATGTATAATTTAAAACCATATAATATAAATTAAATTTCCTTTAATATTGTATATCCTCACGCACCCCGCAGTGGAAGGTGGGTCGAGCTAATACAGGTAAAATAAAATAAAGGGAAAGCTGAGGACTTCGCACGTGCGTAGTTTTTGTGCACAACTGAAAAACGATGATTCGTTTTCTCCGGATTTCCGGCATATCGGCGCTCGCTCTCTCAAAACGACTAGCCGTATCGTCCTCCCTCCGTCGCACGACAACAGGAACATGGTGCTGTAAGATGTCCACTGCATCATCAACTTCCTCGACTCACACCATCTCCTTGCCGTGTCAACTCGGCCAGCCCGTTGAAGTCCTCGCCGCTCCCGGTCTCTCTGATACCGAGTTCAGGTAGATCCTTTTATATGGATTGCTTGTATTACATGTTTCCTAATTGGAAATTGATGGACTTAGAGGCGTTGCAGGACTGCAATTGATTCGTCCTTGTTCAAACAGTGGCTGAAGAATCTGCAAAGCAAGTCTGGGATTTTAGCTAATGGGGATATGACGCTAACGCAAGTTCTAATTCAGGTATGTAATTTTTTTTTTTTTTTTCACAAGTAATTTCGAATTCGTTTATGCCCAGATTTGCAAAACACAAATGTGTTTGGGGATTCTGTCTTCTTCATACAGTGCTGGGATTATATGCTCTTTATGCCTTAAATACTGGAAAGTGGGAGGTCTATTAAGCAGTTGGTAGTATTTTCAAGTGCCTACATTTGTAAGAAACTAAGAATTTCAATTCTATTCAGTTCTTTTGGATAAATTTACCATATTTGAGCTTGCTCGGATGCTTTTGAGTGGGTTTAGAGGCTAGAGTGATGAACAATTATTTTTTCTTTTCTCTTATTTGCTTTGGCTTTCATTTTTTTGTCCCCTTTTCAATTGTGTTACTTTAACTTCAAGGGAATTTGAATCATTTCATTATTCTTACATCTTCAACTTGATGGTTGGCTGATGGTAACAGGGAGTTGATATGTTTGGAAAGCGAATCGGATTTCTGAAATTCAAAGCCGACGTTATTCATAAAATGACTGGGAAGAAGGTATCCAATCCTCTCTGTGTATAATTTTTAGTCAGTCAACTACTCAGTCTGTAACATTCATTCATTCTAGCATGATAAGAGGACATGCCTCACTGTTCAATCCCATAAAGCCATTTTTCTCGTCAGTTTTTTCATATCTATCTAATAGTTGCATCAATGTTGAATTGTGTTCTTGAGTTTAGCTTTATCCCCTTTGAGGGTGGGTGTATGCTCTAACTCCGCCATTCTATAACTATAATTTCTGTTGCTGCCATCCTATATCTTTATTTTTTTTTTCTTTTTTTTTTAATGAACCCATTCTACCTCTTTCCTAATCAACTGAAACACATGCTTAGGTTCCAGGTATTGTTTTCGCTCGAGGACCAGCTGTAGCTGTGCTAATTCTTCTGCAATCTGAGGGTGAGACTTATGCTGTTCTTACTGAACAGGTAGAGTTATTTTTTATTGCTCTTCTCTATTATGTCATGCTTGAATTTCTCTGGCATTTGATCTAACATAAAACTGATGAGCAGAGGGTTGAATTGTTAACCTGCTCTCTACTGACACTCATCCATATCTGATTAAATTTCATGTTTGTCTAAGGCTAGGGTCCCAACTGGGCGGGTTGTTCTGGAATTGCCTGCTGGAATGTTGGATGATGACAAAGGTGATTTTGTTGGCACAGCAGTTCGTGAGGTTTCTCTCTCTCTCTAATGCTCTCAGAGAAACACACCAAATAGATTGATACTTTAAAGCAAAAATAAACACTTCTCAATTTGCAGCATTACTTATATTTTTATTGGCCTGTATACTGAATGCAAATCTCATAAAATGCTCAGCTTTTGACTGTTAAAGGTTAGCATCATTGCTTTTGTACTAGGACATATTCTTGCTGCCTTTTCTCTTCTTATTGAACTACTGTCACCCTCAACATATTTCTCTTCAATGTGTGGTAACTGGTATTGGTAGGAACATCAATTTTCCATGTGAATGCAGCTATACTTTTAGATTTATATGATGTTTTTGTTATCAGCCCATTATTTAACATTTGCACTCTGCCATTATTGATCTAGCATACATACATTTTAGCAAAAAATCAATGTTCTTGTGGATCCTGTTTAATAAATTTTCCATACTGTAGATTTTTTATTATTTTAAGTTGCAGAAATGTTACTTCGTGCAGAAGCAAAGTTCATTATTGACGGTATTAGTTTCAAGTTTCTATCTTAAATTACTTGATTGTTTTGGTGTGGGGTAGTAAAGGCAAATTACCCTTTCATTCTAGACTCCTAGGAAAAGATTTTAGGAATTCTTGAGTTCTTCTTTTATAAAGAAATTCAAGGCTATCTATTAAAATGTTATTTTGATCTGATGACAGGTTGAGGAGGAGATTGGTATACACTTAAATCTAGAAGATGTGATTGACCTCACTGCCTTCCTGGATCTATCCACTGAATGCAAAGTTTTTCCTTCTCCGGTATGCTTCAATTACATGTATTCCCTTTTGGAATTAAAAAGGAACATGTACCTATCATTGCTTCCACTAGGAAAAGAGAAACGAACCCTTTGGAGTGAGGAATAACTCGGTTAATTAATTATTGCAAAATAGACAAGGAAAATGAAACAGGAAAGAGAACTTGTTGGAAACACAATGTTGGTTTATTACTATATCTCGACATGCTTAGGAAAAAACTGTAGCAATTGAGAATTGCTACACAATGCCAATTGGAAACAGTAAAATCACTTTTGATGTCATAGTGTTCTTATGGAAGGTTGAAAGAAGCAATTAATGATCAGGGAGGTTAAATGTGTTGAAAATTTGTTGAGTATGCAGTGATACACTTAGAAAGCCTGAATCACAGGAGCTTCAAAACTGCAAATAAATTGATATCAAATCAAATTGCTGTTGTTTCTCCCTTCTTTTTTTTTTTTTTATAAATTTTTACTCTCAGTTTGTTAGTAAAGGGGGTCATTTCTTGCTTTTCTATGTTTAGGGAGGATGTGATGAAGAAATTGGCCTCTTTCTGTACAGAGGACATGTTGATAAAAAGATTATCACGCAACTACAAGGAAAAGAAGCAGGTCTTCAAGAACGTGGTGAGCTCATCAAGGTTCATGTGGTTCCTTATGAAAAGCTCTGGCGCACGACAGCTGATGCAAAGGCTCTGATGGCCATTGCCATCTATGAAATGGCCAAGAGGGAGGGACTATTATCTCCTCAGAAATCTTAACCAGCTCCAATATCTACAGTTAGAGCCTGCTTGTGGTGATTGTTCTGATCACTTCAAGTGATTGTTCTGATCACTTCAAGTGATTGTTCTAGATCCTAGATATCTGTTTTGTTCTTAATGATGCATGACTTTTGTGTAACGTTGTGGGAACAAATGTCTATTGCATGAAGACAATTATTCAGGAATGGGATAAAATATTAATGTTGCCGGTTTATACAGCTACCATTTTAATTCACTAATTCTGGAGTGACTGGATTGAAGGGTCTACTTCAAGTATTTGATTCTTTTGTCTATTTTATCATTCTACATCTTCCTTCCATTTTAACCCTCTGGTCTTTTATTTCCCCCAGGAGAAACATAAATTCATTCTAATTCAGGAGCTGGAACCAGGATTGCTAACTTATTGTATTGCACTCCAAGGTCAGACATTCATTCGCAATGGAGGAAAACAAAGATTTTTATTTTCTCAAAAAAGGTACATGCATACAAGATGGAGCAGCTTTCCCCTTAAATGACGCATCGTACACATCTCCTTTATTGAACAGAGCTTTCTTCTGTTTCCGTCCATCAAACTTAGAAGTTACTTCAATATCATTTAAACATAGAGAATCCTTAATTCAGTAATACAAATTGCACGGTAAAATCTAGCATTCTCAGACCTTACTGGTAACAAAGTCTGTGTTACTTGCTTCCCAAATGGTAGTGCCATCACATGTGCATATCTTCTTGTAGTTCTCACCAACACCAGCGCTTCTAGCAATCACTGCAGCTCTCAAACCTGGATCCGATTTATCTCCAGTCTCATAGACTACAATAGAACGACCAATGAGATCAGCAACTCTGAGCCGCTGTTTGACACCTGAGGAAAAGGTATCACCTTTAACATCCACCTCAAGTGTTCCCAGGTCACCAAGCAGCTGAAACATCAAGTAACCACCAGAAAAACAATGTTAAGGATTAGGAAAATCAAACACACCAGATGGTGACCAGTGGCTGGGCACATACATTGCCTGAGCAAAGGCTTAGGCCAGTAATTAAACAAATTCTTTCACAGGAAAAAATAAGTTGAGAAAGGAATTTGGAAAAAAAAAAAATTGAGAAAGGAGTTTATTGGAGTTGTTGACATGCAGAAATAATAGAAGAAAAACAATAATTGATGAACTAAGCACAATTTATTGTTTATTTCAAGCTACATGGGTAGGTTTTTGACCACCTATTTTAACATAGCTCAAGAGAAATATGTGTATTTCCCTGCAGGGTAATACAGAATACCAACTATTGGTAATAAATAAATCAGAGGTTATCATCTTCAACCACTAAACTGAAATATAATGTTCTATGAAAAACAATAGAAGGGAAGTTTCAGAGCTTTGGAACTACAAATTATTGTTAGCTCAATAGAATTATCAAAGAAAACAGCAAATGTATGTCAAATTATTATAGAAGTTAGATAAATATGGATTGCAGAGATGGCAGAAGTTGGAGCAAACCTCTTTATCAGTTCCTTCATTTGATGGATTATAGACTTTACCGGTGCTTGCTGCACCTCTTGTCAGATCACCATATTCATTAATAGACCAACCGTGTTTTCCTGGTGACAACCCACTAAAATTGGCTTCAATCCTAGCCAATTCCATACTCACTTGAGCCAAGCGAACCACACCAAAAATATCTGGACCTTTAAATTCAGCAACAGCTGCTGAAACTAAAAAGTCTGCAAAAGAGCAAAGGAATTTCATGAACTGTGACTATTATTTGATGATGATGTGATCTGAATCAACTCAATCAGTCTTACAAATGACAGGAGGATAGACTATCCAGTATCCAGGTATTGTTACAAACTATCCAACTAAAGCAAATGTAAAGTAAAATCACCTTTTTGTTACTAGACTCTCCAGTATTTTGAGTCGTCAGGAGCAACCCAAAAAGGTTAAAAAATAAACATGGTGATTTTGCCCCTCTTTTGAATTATGTTTAAGTTCAAAAATTAAATGTTACACTGTTCATGAAATACTAAGAGGATAAATGATTCAAGAAAAATGCTGTGCACATTGAAACTTCTAAAAGAAAAAACTACAGTTTTCTGTATGCATATACTATCACTGAAAATGCAATTTTAAGGAAATGACAACAATTGCATTGCATTAGTTATAAGCACAACTGATTTTGAATGACAAACCTTCTGGCACTCCTTGGCCAATTAATCTGGCTTTTCGCCCTGTCTGCTCCAGTGCTTCAGTCATGATCTTCACAGGTGAAGAACCAAGTACTCTCACGACTTGATTGGCCAAGTCAACCTCCACATTCTTTACCCCTGAAGTTCAAATTTTTATCCATAACCAAGTCAACAAACGAGAAAAAGAAAAGTAATTCATTCCAAAGCAAGAAAAAAATTATCTGCCATACATAGATGCATGATTTTGCCTACCACTGACAGTCTCCAACTTGTTCTTGACAGCACTGACACAACCCTCACACTTCATATCCACCATGAACTCCGTCTGGTATCAAAATTGAACCAAAAAAAATTCAGCAGACCCGTAAATAACATATCAATAGAACCAACAAAAAGATGCAGAAACAAATTACTCAAGTACAAAGAGTACTACTCCTAATGGTTAACAGATTAAGCACTATTATTATCTTAGTTAGATTAACCAGTAGCACAAGGCCAAATCCAAATACAATTATTGATCACTGAACCAGATAAAAATCAAACAATTCTTGAACTTGTATTATTCTAGCAACAAACTAAATTAGAACAACCAAGTTGACCCAACACAACCATCACCGGGTTAAAATCATATTGAGACAGTATCAATTGATTAAATATTATCAGAGATTAAAGACAAAACTTACAAGTAGCTCAGGCAAGGACCCAACTTCCTGCAAATCAAAGAGATAATAAAATCCAGAGTCCAAAATTAGGCCTTTATAAAGAAAAACAATAAGATTCGACATAAAAGCAAATGGGTAGCGTTCAAAAGTTCAATTGAAATTAAGTAAAGCAAACCTGGGAAGGAGAGGAGGTGGGTTTGTGATCGGATGTGGGTGCATCCATGTGAAGGGCAGTGGGTGGACCGGTGAAGCTTCTTGAGAGGCCCAATGGATTCGTTGGAGAAGAGAGGAACGGGAGATTATTGGTAGCTGGGAAATGTGAAGATTTGGAAGAAGAAGAAGAGGAGGAGGAGAGAGCAAGAGCGGCTGGTACAGCTGAGGCTGCTGCTGTAGTAGTTGCGACCAGTGCCCTGAGAAATGCCATTTTGCTGTTCTAATTTTATCGGGTTTTTAATGTTTTTCAATGGTTAGAAGGCCGCTAGCTTTCCTGCTGCCCCTCACAGGCTTCTGGATAAATTATTGGGATAATTTTAAGGGTTGGCTAGGTACATATAAGTTAAATTTTATTAATTATAAAATTTATAGTTAATTTTATATAAGTTTTT